ATATATATATATATATATATATATATATATATATATATTAAATGTATAAAGATTGCACGTCCAACCTACACCAGAAAATTGAACATACAAAAATACTTGACACGTGACACACGAGTTTCACTATTTAGCTATCGTTTTCAGCCTTTAACGAACTCTGCATTCAGGTTGTCTTTTAGATTTCTACATATTGAATTCTAAGCTTGGCTGTGTAACTTCAAGAAAGCACCCAAAAGGGAATTTCAGTGATTTAATTAGTTAGGACATATTTTTATTAGAGTTCGTAAAACTAATTTTAAATGAATTTGACTTTATAAAATTAATTTTAATTAGAAGTGTGTTTAATTAAATTAATATATATTTAAAACTATTAACGTGAAAGATAGATATGATATAATAAATATAGTTTATATTAATAAAAATATATTCAAATGTTTGATAAGTGAAAGTCACTCTTATAAATATAGATTAATCTTTGATTATCAATTTTAAAGCATCACGTAGATCTTATATAAAAATTAATAAATTTGTAAAAAGTATTAAGTAATAACATAACTTAAATTATGAACAATACTTCTCTAATTTATATATAGGCTAAATTATACTTTTAGTTCCCCTGTAATATCAAATTTTCAATTTTAGTTCTTTTATTATTTATGTAATTTTAGTTTCCTAATTTTATAAAATTTACAAATTTAGTTATTTTATTAAATACATTCTTTAATCATTAAAATTAATCATAATTTGATATTAAATAGATGACATAATTAATATTTAATAATATTTAAATTAAAATTCTTTTTTATTTCTTATTTTATCATATAAAAGTAGTCAAATAAGATAAAAAAAAGTATCAAAATAAGAATTAAAAATACAATTTAGTCTAAATATTATTAAATATTAACTATAATCTCATCTATGGTCACGACAAACATTATAATTTTAGCAATTAATGAATGTACATATAACAAGGAGGTTAAATTGCAAATTTTATAAAATAAAGGGATTAAAATTGTTTATTTGATTTTATATGGAGACCAAAAGTGTAATTTAGCATTATATTTAACTTGATTTTTGTTCATCACATAAGTGATAAAATATTACTTATTAATTTAATAATAGATTATATATTTTCTTTGATTATTCACTAGAATGACTAACATTAGCATGAATTGAAATCAAGATATTTTTCAAATTAATAATTTGTTAGTCAATCACATTTTTTCATCCACAATAATTGAACTCAAGATATTTTTTTTAAGTGAATAAACTTAATATAATTTCAAATCAATAATTTGTTAGTCAATAGATTATGCTTTTTTTTACAAAATTAATTTTTTAAAAAAATTATCAAATACACAAACACAAATTTTGAACTACTTTTAGCATGTTAAACGTGTATTTACATGTTACGTTAGCGATGACTATCTAAAAATGTAACTAGTCCCGAACTCCCGATAATATATATATGTAATTAGTCGCATTTCTCACCTAATGAACAATTAAAGTTGGGATTTTCTCGGGTTAGGTTAGAAAGGCATATTGTTTGGTCTCCTCTAACATATTCGTTATTAGCTTTTGATTTTTAAAATATTAATACCTGTTCACTAGTCGCAAAAAGAGGAAGAGGTGCCTTTGATCTATAAGTCAAATTTTGTTTTATACCATCTCTGTAAGAATTACTTTTTAAAAAAAAATTATTTAAACTTTATGTTAAATTCAATTTATATTTATTATAATTATTTATAAATCAAAATTTAAATATAAAAAGACAATGAAGTATTTGAAGAAAAAGAATGTGGTTGAATTGAAGCGGTCTTGTGCCAACTTAGTTACTTACACATACGACAAACAAAACAAGTAAGGCAAGTAGACGATGGCTTCTCGAAAACGTTACCGCAATTAGAAATTAGCTTGTGATGGGTTTCAGTTTTCACTGCAGTGACTTCAATTTCCACACGCCATAGGCATCGAGTCAAATAGAAAGTCAAGTTTTCAATGGGTTTGGATTCGCATTCCAACCCAACCAAACCAATGTTTCTATTTCCATTCCTCCCAGCCTCCAATAATTCAATCTCTGCACTGCACCAATGGAGCTTTTGAAGCCTCTGCACCCTCACCATGCACCCATTTTGCACCTTCCCTTTCACGCCCTCCCCTCTTCTTCTCAACAGCTTCCCCTCCCCATGCTTCCTAAGGTTCATGTTGCTGCTGGCAAATCGCTCCACAAAACCCTCCCTTTACTTCGCTGGACTTTAAACCACTTTCCGAACGCCGAAATCGTCATTCTTCATGCTTTTCAACCTTCTCTCACCATCCCCACTTTATGTAAGCTCATTTCATTCAATTTTCAATTTGATGGTCTCCACTTTGCCCCTTTTTGCCAAGATTCGGTTTTTGGGTGTCTTTAATTTTGTTGAGAATTGGTTTTTGGTGTGTTGAGCAGTGGGGAAATTGCCAGCATCACAGGCTAGTCCTGAAGTGGTGTCCGCTTTTCGAAAAGTGGAAAGAGAACAGATTATGAAGCTTTTGGACAAGTACTTGACCATTTGCCAAGCAGCTAGGGTAAGCGTGTTCTTTCCCTTTAATTCATGTAAATCACTTGTTTTATTTATGTCGTAAATATTATAGATTGTATATGCAGCTTTGGGTAAGAAACCCATTTGTTAATTGTGTTGTTTATATAAATTTTTGTCAGGTTAAGGCATGCATTATTGTAACCGAAGCTGACCAAGTCCAAAAAGGAATTGTTGATTTGGTTGTTAAGCATAATATTCAGAAGCTTGTCATTGGAGCGGTACCAGAAAAGTAAGTAATGCATTCATTGTCTACTTAATCAGTGTTCTTTGTTCTTTCAAGATCCCACATTGACTAGTTATATAACCAAAATAGTGTATATAAGTAGAGAACAATCTTTATCTTATAAGCACATATTGACCAATGATATGACCAAAATTGTGCATATAAGTGGAAAATGATCATCACATTTTAAGATGGATTTGTAGAGTTGAGTAAGGCTCAATCTCACATTCTTAAGATTTTTTTCTTTCCTTTATAGGATTGGGGGAAGCTTGTTTCTTTGTTAGTTTTCTGTCTAGACAATGTGGGATTATATAGATTTGATTTTATTCTTTTGACTCATGTAATTCATATCCCTATGTCTGTTTTTTTTTCTGTAGAGTGAAGATAATGGCACAACTAGTTTTATTTTCATTTGATAACTTCATGGCTAAAATCTGCTTCAGCTATCTTTGTTTTTGTCCCTTTTCTTTAACGGAAGAGAGGTAATAAATCTTTCCACTTACAAAATCATTGGGGAAAATTGCAGTTGCATAAAAGTGAAAAGGAATTCTGGTAAAGCAAATTACACTGCCAAAAATGCTCCTCCGTTCTGTGAAGTATGGTTTATCTATAAAGGTAAACACATTTGGACAAGAGAGGCTTCTGAAGCACCATGTTCTTCACCTTCATTTACTCAACCTGAGATTACCACCACAGAAAGCTTGAGATGTAGATCTTTTCAATATGGTAAGAATGAATTATTCAACTCAGAGTATCTTCAACCAAGTTCGGTAAGAACTACTATTGGTTCTGGTTTTAGAAGTTTGGTTCAGGGGGAAATCATTGAAACCGAAGCCACTTTTTCATCCAAACCATCCAGTTGTAGCAGTCATTGTCATTGCTCCCCCCAAAATTCCTCTGGTGATTATTTACATACATATTTAGAGGACATGGAAGAAATGATTGACAAACAACTTAGGGAAACCAAAAAAGAAGCTGAGGCAGTAACAGATGAAGCCTTTGCAGGGCTATTAAAGTGCAAGAGGTTGGAAGTTGAAGCCATGGAAGCCATAAGGAAGGTAAGTAAAATCTAGTGATTGTAAATCACTTCTAAAGTCAATAAGCTTCTGGCCTTTGCCCTTATTGCTCTTGCACTAGCCGTACATGAGGAGTTAAATATTGTGTATTTTTACATATTTCATAAATTTTGACTAAGCATTAAAACAAGACAGAATCCCTCTGGAAAATACTGGGATTCTGTATACAAAATTTTGAAACTAAACATTTTCAGGTCAGAATTGTAGAAGTAGCAACATTTTGAATGTATATTTAAGTTCACACTAATTTTGTTTAAAAACGATGTTTGGAAATTTCAATCACATTAGCTGTATCCTTTCTATCTCTAAATCAGTGACTAATGGTGTGGATATTGAGTCTATAGTTTAGTTGAATTCTTAACTTCATGACTTCTCTCTCACAACATAAGTTATATTTTGTCTTATAGGTCAATTTGTTTGAATCTGCCCATGCATGTGAAGTGAAGCTCAGAAAAGAAGCTGAGGATGTGCTTAGAGCTACAGTGCAAGAACATCAAAAGCTCTTGCATGCGAGTGAAGAAATTGCTGCTGAGCTACAAATGACCATGAGAAATATTGCCTTGCTAGATAGTCGTGCTCAGGAAGCAAACCGTAGGCGCGATGAAGCTTCAGATGAACTATCACTAATTCAAGAATCCATCTCAGCCCTATGGCAAGAAAGGCAGCAGATCAGGAGACAGAAAATGGAAGCCCTCCGCTGGCTTGAGCGGTGGAAAAGTCGTGGACAAGTTGGAGCAGCTCATTGCAATGGGGTCATTGGGTTTGCTGAAGAATTACCTGAGTTAGCAGAATTTTCATTATCAGATCTTCAAAATGCCACGTGTAATTTTTCCAATAGCTTTAAAATTGGTCAAGGTGGATATGGTTGTATATATAAGGGGGAAATGTTGGGTAGGACTGTTGCTATAAAAAAGTTCCATCAACATAACATGCAAGGACCACTGGAGTTTCATCAAGAGGTCAGTTCCCCCCCCCCCCCCCCC